AGAGTAGCTTTTGATTAGTATTTATTATTTATTATTGCTTTTTACTACATCTATTTATGTTTTTAGACACATTCTATTTTTATTTATTTTTATTATTTACTATTTTTAATTATTTATTGTATCTACCCATTTACTATTGTTATCATCAATATTAGGCAGCTGCCATTTTTCTTTTTAGTGTCTCATTTTATTGTTCTACTTTCTATTGTATTATTGTATTGTTTTAGTGTCCCCAGTGTTTCCTCTGGAGGAGCCCTCTGCACTGAGAGCTGGGGTCTGCTGTGGCTTCGGGAGTCTGGCTCTTGGATCCGGTGGGGGTCTGGGGCCTCCTCTCTCCTCTGGGTCCTATGGGGTCTGAGTCCTGGGCCTGGTGGGGTCTGGGGCCCCTCTCTCCTCTGGGTCCTGTGTCGTTCCCTGTGGCTGCAGCCGGCTCTCTGCTCCTGGTGCAGATGGCTCCTTGGATGGCGCTTCTTCAGCCGGTTACATCTGCTCCCAGCCCCATTTCTTTGTATTGTTTTACCTATTTTACCTGATATGACTTTATGTGTGTGTGTGTCTGTGTGTGTGTATTGTATATATAATTATAAATGTGGTTTTGGGGGGGTCTGTGGGGAGGAGGGTTTAGGGCTGGGCATGTTGGATTGTTTTTAACTAAACTGTAAAGCACTTTGTGTTACACTTTTTGTATGAAAAGCGCTTTATAAATAAAATTTGATTGATTGATTGATTACCTACATAGTTTCTCTGAGTGAGTTTCACTTCCAGTTGACCCCCACAAAGTCGATAGTGCTCTGGACAGATCGCCCTAAATGCAGAAACACTGAAGTACACATGGAATAAATTTATTTGTATCGCACAATTCATACAAAAGTGCTCAAAGTGCTGAACAAAACAAGAAACCATAAAATCATAGTATGACAGTTCATTAAAAAGCTGGATTTAAACATTTTCAGAAATAGGTCTCACATTTTCAGGAAGACTGTCCCAGATTTCAGCATGAATCTGAAACGCTGCCGCCTCATGTTTAGTCCTGACTCTGGGTAAATGCAGAGTCATGCGGTAAAACAAAATACATGTTTCCATAAGAACTGAAACCTAAACCTGACTCTGGCCGGACCCCTGTAGTTCCGCCGTGCTCCACCAGAGGCGCTCCTTCAAACTCCTGCAAGACAAGCAACCAATAAAGAACCAATCAGGATCGCCACTGCCTTCTCTAGAGCCACTTTGTGATGTCACGCGAACCTCACGGCAGCCGGAGCAAACCAAGATGGCCGACAGGAAGTCCTAAAGCAACTAATGAAGACACGGACGTCACTTCTAAAGCAGATGTTGATGGTTTCGTGTTGTGATAAGTGGGTTTTAGGAGCAACGGCGCCTGTCAATCACACGCAGCAAGAGTCTGTGCTTCGATGTGATTGGTTGAAACTCAAGATAACGGACTGTGCTTTGTCCAATCGCCGTCAAGGATATCTTTTTAGAAAGCCCCGCCTTCTTAATACAGCTCCTATTGAGAGATCTCAGACCCTCATGTGAAACCAGGGGAGCACAGGGACTGACGACACACAGGGACAGGAAGCAAAACTCAAACTATATAAGATCAAATATGCGGTAAAATAAAACCGGTAAATAACAGGAAACAAAATATTCTCATCTCCAAGTTTCATATCATTCTTTTCAAACCAGTTTTTCCCGATTCCAAGATGACGATGGAGACAGCTTTATGTATAAAACACAGAAAAATGTTTTTACTCCGACCGTTTCACAGCCGGGTGTTCCTGCTGTGCCTGTGGAGCCGGATAGACTCTCAGATGGAGTGTGTGTCGGGCTCGTCGCGGTCTCGGCTCCACACTCATCAGGATTCATGTGTTTCTGGGTAAACATCACGAGCGGTGCAGGCATGTGGACGCTTCTACACCATTTGCCGCTTCCTCGCTGCTCCTGTATAAATAATGAGTCATGCGGTGCTAGCTAAACGCCTGTATATGACACGCCACATAAATATACAGACGTTTAACCCTCGATGACCCGGCACAGACCGGCACAGACCGGCTCTGATCCTGGTCTGGATTTGCAGAGTTAGAATCCTCACTACGGTTTGAATGTAGGTCTTTTACTCAAATCCAGACCAAAGCAAACAGCATCATTTACTCAGGTAAGTCAAGTAAGTGTAGAGGAGCACAGGGACTGGCCTCCTGCTGGGACTCTGAGGAGCACAGGGACTGGCCTCCTGCTGGGACTCTGAGGAGCACAGGGACTGGCCTCCTGCTGGGACTCTGAGGAGCACAGGGACTGGTCTCCTGCTGGGACTCTGAGGAGCACAGGGACTGGCCTCCTGCTGGGACTCTGAGGAGCACAGGGACTGGCCTCCTGCTGGGACTCTGAGGAGCACAGGGACTGGCCTCCTGCTGGGACTCTGAAGAGCACAGGGACTGGCCTCATGCTGGGACTCTGAGGAGCACAGGGACTGGCCTCCTGCTGGGACTCTGAGGAGCACAGGGACTGGCCTCCTGCTGGGACTCTGAGGAGCACAGGGACTGGCCTCCTGCTGGGACTCTGAAGAGCACAGGGACTCCTGCTTTGACTCTGAGGAGCACAGGGACTGGCCTCCTGCTGGGACTCTGAGGAGCACAGGGACTGGCCTCCTGCTGGGACTCTGAGGAGCACAGGGACTGGCCTCCTGCTGGGACTCTGAAGAGCACAGGGACTTCTGCTTTGACTCTGAGGAGCACAGGGACTGGCCTCCTGCTGGGACTCTGAGGAGCACAGGGACTGGCCTCCTGCTGGGACTCTGAAGAGCACAGGGACTGGCCTCCTGCTGGGACTCTGAGGAGCACAGGGACTGGCCTCCAGCTGGGACTCTGAAGAGCACAAGGACTGGCCTCCTGCTGGGACTCTGAGGAGCACAGGGACTGGCCTCCTGCTGGGACTCTGAGGAGCACAGGGACTGGCCTCCTGCTGGGACTCTGAGGAGCACAGGGACTGGCCTCCTGCTGGGACTCTGAGGAGCACAGGGACTGGCCTCCTGCTGGGACTCTGAGGAGCACAGGGACTGGCCTCCTGCTGGGACTCTGAGGAGCACAGGGACTGGCCTCCTGCTGGGACTCTGAGGAGCACAGGGACTGGCCTCCTGCTGGGACTCTGAGGAGCACAGGGACTGGCCTCCTGCTGGGACTCTGAGGAGCACAGGGACTGGCCTCCTGCTGGGACTCTGAAGAGCACAGGGACTCCTGCTTTGACTCTGAGGAGCACAGGGACTGGCCTCCTGCTGGGACTCTGAGGAGCACAGGGACTGGCCTCCTGCTGGGACTCTGAGGAGCACAGGGACTGGCCTCCTGCTGGGACTCTGAAGAGCACAGGGACTTCTGCTTTGACTCTGAGGAGCACAGGGACTGGCCTCCTGCTGGGACTCTGAGGAGCACAGGGACTGGCCTCCTGCTGGGACTCTGAAGAGCACAGGGACTGGCCTCCTGCTGGGACTCTGAGGAGCACAGGGACTGGCCTCCAGCTGGGACTCTGAAGAGCACAGGGACTGGCCTCCTGCTGGGACTCTGAGGAGCACAGGGACTGGCCTCCTGCTGGGACTCTGAGGAGCACAGGGACTGGCCTCCTGCTGGGACTCTGAGGAGCACAGGGACTGGCCTCCTGCTGGGACTCTGAGGAGCACAGGGACTGGCCTCCTGCTGGGACTCTGAGGAGCACAGGGACTGGCCTCCTGCTGGGACTCTGAGGAGCACAGGGACTGGCCTCCTGCTGGGACTCTGAGGAGCACAGGGACTGGCCTCCTGCTGGGACTCTGAGGAGCACAGGGACTGGCCTCCTGCTGGGACTCTGAGGAGCACAGGGACTGGCCTCCTGCTGGACCCAGAGTCAGGACTAAACCTGTGGAGACAGTGTTTCAGATTAATGCTAAAATCTGGAACAGTCTTCATGAAAATGTGAGACAGGTTTCTTTTCTGACGATGTTAAAAACAGTTCCGTTTTGCACAACTGAAGGATTTAGTTTTTTTGTTGTTGAACCCTCTGAGTTGCCTTGTACCTATGCTATACAAATACACTTTAAACTCTCCCTTTGCTAATATTCAAACAACCTCAGGTCTCTCTCTCTTTGACTCAGTTTTAATCAAATATTTCTGTGGTTTCCATTTCCACACTGCGTCCGGAACAGCAGCAGAATGACAATAACAACGTGGCGGTTAGCATGCTAATCCTGCAGCCGCTCTGTCACAGCCGCTCAGTCACAGCTGCTCGGTCACAGCCGCTCAGTCACAGCTGCAGTCTGACGGGAGAGCATTCAGCAGGGTACAAGTTTGGACACCCCCGGATCTAGAGGGGTGTCCAAACTTCCAACGGGGAAGATTTTAAAGGATTTTCACGGTGGCTGAGTGGATAACGCTCTCAGCGAACAGGGCCTTTCTGAGTGGAGTTTGCATGTTCTCCCTGTGTCTGTGTAGGTTTCCTCTGGGTGCTCCGGGTTCCCCTACCACTAAAAACATGCACAATAGGTCTGAATGTAAATGAGAGAGTGAATGGATGGTGTTGGAGCTGATGGTCCAGTGTGTTCTGGACTCGCTTCTGTCATCACCGTGTGTGGAAGGATTGGAACAATATCTGACTCTGAACATTGGAAAGTGCTTTGGGTCTGTACCTTGGTCTGTAAAATGTGCTATATAAATAAACATTACTTACTTACTTAGTCACAGGTTGCTCAAAAATGATGAAAAGAAATCACTAACCTTCTAATCCTCAGTATCTTTAAAAACCACAATTGTAAAGTCAGATGGATGGAGATACATTTGTGAACATGGCTTTTCGAAGGACCAATGTCAAAACCATAAGTCCTGATTCCACGCTTTAGTCTCTGATACCGTATCTACAACACGACAACAAACCGGTATCCAGGGGAAATTCCTTGGTAGCCATGGCTCCCAGCAGCACTGTGTCAGTTGAAACACTTAGCACCAGCGCGGCCTGGATAGAACCATAGACTGTTGACACTAATGTTATTTGCTCTGTCTCCTCTCGGTCTCCTCTCGGTCTCCTCTCGGCCTCCTCTCGGCCTCCTCTCGGTCTCCTCTCGGTCTCCTCTCGGCCTCCTCTCGGTCTCTCCTCGGCCTCTCCTCTCGGCCTCCTCTCGGTCTCCTCTCGGCCTCCTCTCGGTCTCTCCTCGGCCTCTCCTCGGCCTCTCCTCGGTCTCTCCTCTGTCTCTCCTCTGTCTCTCCTCTGTCTCTCCTCTGTCTCCCCTCCTCCTGTCCTCGGCCTCCCGTCCTCATGGCAGCAGTCGTATATCCAGGCTGTGACCGCGGCTGCTGCCTGTGCACTAAATCCACTCACGGAGCTGATTGGGCCTGAAATTAAATCCACGACAGAGCGAGAGAACCGTCCACTTTAACCTCCGGCAAGACGTCAGCGAGAGACAGGACGAAGACAGAGACAGAGACAGAGACAGAGACAGAGACAGACAGAATCCTCTCTGCTCTGGTCTCGACCAGTGTAAAACCATGAATCCTCTCTGCTCTGGTCTGGACCAGTGTAAAACCATGAATCCTCTCTGCTCTGGTCTGGACCAGTGTAAAACCATGAATCCTCTCTGCTCTGGTCTGAAAACTACTGCTGTAATCTAGCGCTATACAAGAAAAAACTGAATAAATAGAAATGACTCATCATTGCTGCCATTTTGCAAAGATCCAATTCCAAACACTAGTCTCATGTTGGAATAACAGATGTTTTCTTGTGGAACCAGTGACTTTTGAATTGGCCAGACTTTATTATTTACTCTTCCACAAGTCACGAGACGCTGCTTTATTGCTTTACCAGCTGTGGCTGACGTCTGGCTGTGTTCTTTGAGTTTCAGGAACCAATATAAACGTCAACAAAGATAAATTCCAGCGACACGTCGTTCCAGAAGCATTTGAATGAGCGTCCTGCCGCATTATTAACTCATACACGTTTTAAAATATCGATTCCTTCACTTGTGGCCGATCCGTCCCGGCTCCAGCGCCTGGTACAGTCTTCGTGAAATGAGATTGTGAAGACCCCCCCCCCCCCCCACACACACACGTATAGGTGCCTCCGAGGTCCATAAATCCTGGCTCCATTATGGCCCTGCCGATGGCTCTGCACACAGGCCTCACCGAGCTTTTATGGCCCAGATATGATGTATTTTCGTGCGTTCAAGGCAGAGGACAGAAGCTGGCCGGGAATAAAACGGAGAAGGAGCCCAAATGAAGCGGAAAAATGTAATGGAGGAAAGTTGTGCAAGATCCATAGGTGTCCACGAAGATGAGATGTTTCTGTTTTTCCCACTTCATCCTAATCATATGTGTGGGGATCTTTTGGATGATACAACGGTTAAGGCTATTTCTTGCGAACAGGTAAAGTCACCGCAACAGACAGAAGCTCCTCCCCCCTGAGAGGCCTCATCAGCCCAAAGTAAACAAGTCAGTGTGAAGGCTAAATGTTCAGCTTTATCCAGGACAGCGTCATTTCAGACCTGACAATACACTTTTCCATTCAATGGCGATCCGTCTCATAGAGCCCTCTGTCCGAGATCCTGAATCGGACAATCTAATTATCTGTTTAACAAAAGCATGCAGCGAGTTAGTGGCACTGCCCGACAGATCTATGCCTCGTTAGTGTGCGCTCCAATGTCTGGTCCATGGGCGCTCCAAAGTCTGGTCCATGGGCGCTCCAAAGTCTGGTCCATGGGCGCTCCAAAGTCGGGTCCATGGGCGCTCTAAAGTCTGGTCTGTGGGCGCTTCAAAGTCGGGTCCATGGGCGCTCCAATGTCTGGTCCATGGGCGCTCTAAAGTCTGGTCTATGGGCGCTCCAAAGTCTGGTCTATGGGCGCTCCAAAGTCTGGTCTGTGGGCGCTCCAAAGTCTGGTCCATGGGCGCTCAAAAGTCTGGTCTGTGGGCGCTCCAAAGTCTGGTCCATGGGCGCTCAAAAGTCTGGTCTGTGGGCGCTTCAAAGTCTGGTCCATGGGCGCTCTAAAGTCTGGTCTGTGGGCGCTCCAAAGTCTGGTCCATGGGCGCTCAAAAGTCTGGTCTGTGGGCGCTCCAAAGTCTGGTCCATGGGCGCTCTAAAGTCTGGTCTGTGGGCGCTCCAAAGTCTGGTCCATGGGCGCTCAAAAGTCTGGTCTGTGGGCGCTCCAAAGTCTGGTCCATGGGCGCTCAAAAGTCTGGTCCGTGGGCGCTTCAAAGTCTGGTCCATGGGCACTCCAAAGTCTGGTCTATGGGCGCTCCAAAGTCTGGTCTGTGGGCGCTCCAAAGTCTGGTCCATGGGCGCTCCAAAGTCTGGTCCATGGGCACTCCAAAGTCTGGTCTATGGGCGCTCCAAAGTCTGGTCTATGGGCGCTCCAAAGTCTGGTCCATGGGCGCTCCAAAGTCTGGTCCATGGGCACTCCAAAGTCTGGTCTATGGGCGCTCCAAAGTCTGGTCCATGGGCGCTCTAAAGTCTGGTCTGTGGGCGCTTCAAAGTCTGGTCCATGGGCGCTCAAAAGTCTGGTCCGTGGGCGCTTCAAAGTCTGGTCCATGGGCGCTCTAAAGTCTGGTCTGTGGGCGCTCCAAAGTCTGGTCCATGGGCGCTCAAAAGTCTGGTCTGTGGGCGCTTCAAAGTCTGGTCCATGGGCGCTCTAAAGTCAGGTCCATGGGCGCTCCTGCAGAAGTCTAGCAAGAGTCGACATAACTCTGTGAAAGTCTTTCCAACTCTGCCAAAGTCTCATCGTCACAGAGAAGGGCGGTGCTTATATAAGCCTTAGATGCTGTTGTAAACACATAGACTTTGGAAATAAGATTGGCCAAAGATGTCATGAGTATGATCTGAGCTTTGTCGTGGACCGAACTTCAATCTACACGAGACAGTACTATCTACAGTATGTCCTGTACATTTATGCTTCGTAAACTGTTTAAAGTACAATAGTAAGCAATCTGGAATCTCCATAGAACAGCGTCTATATCAATTAGCAAGCAATAATATTCAGATATTTACAGCATCATGGGAGATCATCCACTGCACAGACCGGCGCCATCTTGGATCGCCGGGGCCAGAGGAGGAAGGGTAACCACTCTGCCAAACGTGTTGCCGTGCAGAGCCACATTCTGCAAACAATTTACGTTTCCAAACTCTGTCCTGTCTCATTATTTCTGCCCTTCGTGATTTATAAATGACACATCTTTTATTAATCCCACATTATCATGGTTCCGTCCCCGCAGCATCTTCCATTCTCTGCACAGTTGAATCTGATGAATAAATGTATCTTTTCCTCTCGGAGCTTTAGACTTCTTTGACTCACCCACACTCAAACCAAATGTCAAATCCAAATGTTCTGTGTTGGTTGCTTATTGTGTTTTGTTTTAGAAGTTTTTAGAGTTGTAATGACAAATCGAATCCAAAGTTACCAAACTATTAAGCATTATTGTAGAAAATTCATATCAAATAAAGTATATTCATTTTTGTTACATGCAAGATCAGGACATGTTTGAGGTTCAGTGTGTTAGCGTGGGTGTGTCTCAAAACTACTCCAGGTCTGACTGGTGAGAAATTATGTTTGAACGTCGATTTAGCAGGATATGTCTCCTTTAATGCTCCAGGATATGTCTCCTTTAATGCTCCAGGACATGTCTCCTTTAATGCCCCAGGATATGTCTCCTTTAATGCCCCAGGATATGTCTCCTTTAATGCCCCAGGATATGTCTCCTTTAATGCTCCAGGATATGTCTCCTTTAATGCTGCAGGATATGTCTCCTTTAATGCTCCACGATGTCGGAAGGATCACTGCGGCACTTGGCCTGGACTTGGGAGCAGTCAGACCAGGGAAAGGTCAGGGTCCCCGTCTCGTCCCTCTCTCTGGTCTCTCTTCCTGGTCTCTTCCTCAATCAATCAATCACTTTATTTATCCCCAAGGGGCAATTAAAAAGCACTGAGAGTTGCAAGTTATGTGATAAAAAGCTCAATAAATAAAACATAAATACACACACACACTTCCTGTATAAGTTACTGTTGGAGCGTTTTAAACCCTGTGCTGGGGTAATGAGGGGTCGAGCTGAGACACTGTTGGAACAAAAGTGGATTTTCTCCCCTGCGTCCTACATCCCACCTAGCGTCCTACTGTACATCCCACCGAGCGTCCTACTGTACATCCCACCGAGCGTCCTACATCCCACCGAGCGTCCTACTGTACATCCCACCGAGCGTCCTACATCCCACCGAGCGTCCTACTGTACATCCCACCGAGCGTCCTACTGTACATCCCACCGAGCGTCCACATCCCACCGAGCGTCCTACATCCCACCGAGCGTCCACATCCCACTGAGCGTCCTACTGTACATCCCACCGAGCGTCCTACATCCCACCGAGCGTCCTACATCCCACTGAGCGTCCACATCCCACCGAGCGTCCTACTGTACATCCCACCGAGCGTCCTACTGTACATCCCACCGAGCGTCCTACATCCCACTGAGCGTCCACATCCCACTGAGCGTCCTACTGTACATTCCACCGAGTGTCCTACATCCCACCGAGCGTCCACATCCCACTGAGCGTCCTACATCCCACCGAGCGTCCTACTGTACATCCCACCGAGCGTCCTACATCCCACCGAGCGTCCTACTGTACATCCCACCGAGCGTCCTACATCCCACCGAGCGTCCTACATCCCACCGAGCGTCCACATCCCACCGAGCGTCCACATCCCACCGAGCGTCCTACTGTACATCCCACCGAGCGTCCTACTGTACATCCCACCGAGCGTCCTTCATCCCACCGAGCGTCCTACTGTACATCCCACCGAGCGTTCTACATCCCACCGAGCGTCCTACTGTACATCCCACCGAGCGTCCTACATCCCACTGAGCGTCCACATCCCACCGAGAGTCCACATCCCACTGAGCGTCCTACATCCCACCGAGCGTCCTACTGTACATCCCACTGAGTGTCCTACATCCCACCGAGCGTCCACATCCCACCGAGCGTCCTACATCCCACCGAGCGTCCTACTGTACATCCCACCGAGCGTCCTACATCCCACCGAGCGTCCTACTGTACATCCCACCGAGCGTCCACATCCCACTGAGCGTCCTACATCCCACCAAGCGTCCTACATCCCACCAAGCGTCCCACCCTAAAGTGTGAAGAGGGGAGTCCGGGGAGTCTGAAGTGGGACATGCAGTGACTGACTCCCAAACACACAAAACAATGAGTTTGGACGAAAAAATGGCCACACAACACGTGCCGGTTGTGCCAGTCAGATTGAAGACCTGAAGAAGCAGCTGAAAGAGAAGACCTGAAGAAGCAGCTGAAGAGTTAAAGCTTGCTCAAAACACGACGTCTGTGCCAAGCTGTGAAGAGAGTTGTGGTTGGCCGAGGGCAGAGAGAAGGCCTTAATCCGAGCTCTGAGAGACGCTGCTGCGAGCGGTTCACAGCGAACATCCTGCGTTGAATGTTCGGAACATGTGTGGATGGAAATTATTTCATAAATTATGCGGTTTTGCATGAACATCAACATAATCTTGTCGTCATAAAGAATCCTCAATATATTTAGAAATAAATATATGTTTTGCATTTTTGTAGTAGGTAGTTTTGTTTTGACTTGATCATTTTATAAATAGCTCGCATACTGAAAAAGTGTGAGCACCCCTGCTCTAAGCAAGTAATTGACCAGACTGGCTCTGGATACCGCCTCAGGAACGGAGCAAAGATCAGTCACCTCCTCTACATGGATGACATCAAGCTGTACGCCAAGAGCGAGAGAGACATCGACTCTCTGATCCAAACAACCAGGATCTACAGCCATTACATCGGGATGTCATTCGGACTCGAGAAATGTAGCAGGATGGTGACTCGGAGAGGCAAGGTAATCCACACAGAAGGGATCTCACTCCCAGAGGGAACAATAGCAGACGTTGAGGACAGTTACAAGTATCTCGGTATACCACAGGCAAATGGCAACCTCGGACAGGTGAAGAGGAAAGCGGCAACTGCCAAATACCTCCAGCGAGTAAGGCAGGTCCTAAGAAGCCGGCTCAATGGCAAGAACAAGGCCTGGGCAATTAACAGCTACGCCCTGCCAGTGATCAGATACCCTGCAGGAATAATCAGGTGGCCAAAAGAAGAGATTCAGACCACGGATGTTAAAACTCGAAAGCTCCTTACCATGCGTGGCGGGTTCCATCCCAAATCCAGCCCCCTGAGACTGTACGTAAGCCGTAAAGAAGGAGGCCGAGGACTAGTGAGTGTGAGAGCCACTGTCCAGGACCAAACATCCAAACTCCATAACTACATCATGGAGAAGGCCAAAACAGATGACGTACTCAGTGAATGTCTCAGGCAGTGGCGAGATGAGGAGGTGCTGGAGGAGAGCCCATCATGGGAGGACAAGCCCCTACATGAGGAGGTGCTGGAGGAGGCCCATCATGGGAGGACAAGCCCCTACATGAGGAGGTGCTGGAGGAGAGCCCATCATGGGAGGACAAGCCCCTACATGAGGAGGTGCTGGAGGAGGCCCATCATGGGAGGACAAGCCCCTACATGAGGAGGTGCTGGAGGAGAGCCCATCATGGGAGGACAAGCCCCTACATGAGGAGGTGCTGGAGGAGGCCCATCATGGGAGGACAAGCCCCTACATGAGGAGGTGCTGGAGGAGGCCCATCATGGGAGGACAAGCCCCTACATGAGGAGGTGCTGGAGGAGGCCCATCATGGGAGAACAAGCCCCTACATGAGGAGGTGCTGGAGGAGAGCCCATCATGGGAGGACAAGCCCCTACATGAGGAGGTGCTGGAGGAGGCCCATCATGGGAGGACACGCCCCTACATGAGGAGGTGCTGGAGGAGGCCCATCATGGGAGGACAAGCCCCTACATGAGGAGGTGCTGGAGGAGGCCCATCATGGGAGGACAAGCCCCTACAAGAGGAGGTTCTGGAGGAGGCCCATCATGGGAGGACAAGCCCCTACATGAGGAGGTGCTGGAGGAGGCCCATCATGGGAGGACAAGCCCCTACATGAGGAGGTGCTGGAGGAGGCCCATCATGGGAGGACAAGCCCCTACATGAGGAGGTGCTGGAGGAGGCCCATCATGGGAGGATAAGCCTCTACATGAGGAGGTGCTGGAGGAGGCCCATCATGGGAGGACAAGCCCCTACATGAGGAGGTGCTGGAGGAGGCCCATCATGGGAGGATAAGCCTCTACACGGCACACGTCATGGTGTGGATTTTATTTTTGTATTTTGACATCTGTCATCTGTGGATTAGTTTTAGTTTGACTTGCTGTCCTGTCTTGATTGTCGGCCCCGCCCTGATGTGTTGCACCTGTGTCTCTGTCTATACTGTACGTACCCTGTGCTTCTCTCCCCTTGTTGCTGGTCCATCGTCTTGTCTTGTCAAGGTCTGTTCTGTCCTTTTTAACTTGGACTTTATTTATTAAATCTTTATTTTGGCATTCCGGCGTTTGAGTCCTCACTCACCCCACCCCGTGACAGTACCAGCGGAGCATAACAGAAGTAGCTGATCTCAAGAAGTCCTACCAATGGCTAGAAAGGGCTGGCCTACAGGACAGCACAGAGGCACTCATCATGGCTGAACAGGAGCAGGCACTGAGCACCAGAGCGATAGAGGCCCAGATATACCACACCAGACAAGACCCAAGGTGTCGGTTGTGCAAAGAGGCACCTGAGACGATCCAACACATAACTGCAGGGTGCAAGATGCTGCAGGGAAGGCCTACATGGAACGCCATAACCAAGTGGCTGGCAAACTCCTCCAAAGGTGGTGGAGAATGAGGAGATCCTGTGATCTCAATGCTACGCACGACTTGAGCAGGACGGGATTTGGACCGCTTTGGTCTACTTAGGCACGACTGTGTTTGAACCCCTTTGGTCTACTTGAGCACGACTGTGTTTGGACCCCTTTGGTCTACTTGGGCACGACTGTATTTGAACCCCTTTGGTCTACTTGAGCACGACTGTGTTTGGACCCCTTTGGTCTACTTGAGCACAACTGTGTTTGAACCCCTTTGGTCTACTTGAGCACGACTGTGTTTGGAGCCCTTTGGTCTACTTGAGCACGACTGTGTTTGAACCCCTTTGGTCTACTTGGGCACGACTGTGTTTGAACCCCTTTGGTCTACTTGAGCACGACTGTGTTTGAACCCCTTTGGTCTACTTGAGCACGACTGTGTTTGGACCCCTTTGGTCTACTTGAGCATGACTGTGTTTGGACCCCTTTGGTCTACTTGGGCACGACTGGGGTAAAACACAGTAAAGTGAATCTCTGAGTGCAGTTGTCTGTTTTCTCTCTTCACAAACAGTCGCTGTAATAAATTCCTGTTTCAATTTTACAGTTGGCTGCTGATTACAGAGCACATTAGCGCTGTCTGCCCGCGCCTCTCCGTTCCCTCGCCTCTCCATTCCCGCGCCTCTCCGTTCCCGCGCCTCTCCGTTCCCGCGCCTCTCCGTTCCCGCGCCTCTCCGTTCCCGCGCCTCTCCGTTCCTGCGCCTCTCCGTTCCTGCGCCTCTCCGTTCCCGCGCCTCTCCGTTCCTGCGCCTCTCCGTTCCTGCGCCTCTCCATTCCCTGGCCGTCTGCCCGCGCCTCTCCGTTTGCGCACCTCTCCGTTCTCTTGCCTCTCCGTTCCCACGCCTCTCCGTTCCCACGCCTCTCCGTTCGCGCACCTCTCCGTTCTCTCGCCTCTCCGTTCCCACGCCTCTCCGTTCTCTCACCTCTCCATTCCCGCGCCTCTCCGTTCTCTCACCTCTCCATTCCCTCGCCTCTCCATTCTCTCGCCTCTCCGTTCTCTCGCCTCTCCGTTCTCTCGCCTCTCCGTTCGCGCACCTCTCCGTTCGCGCACCTCTCCGTTCTCTTGCCTCTCCGTTCCCACGCCTCTCCGTTCCCACGCCTCTCCGTTCTCTCACCTCTCCGTTCTCTCACCTCTCCGTTCCCTCGCCTCTCCATTCCCTCGCCTCTCCATTCTCTCGCCTCTCCGTTCCCACGCCTCTCCGTTCTCTCACCTCTCCATTCCCGCGCCTCTCCGTTCTCTCACCTCTCCGTTCTCTCACCTCTCCATTCCCTCGCCTCTCCATTCCCTCGCCTCTCCATTCTCTCGCCTCTCCGTTCCCACGCCTCTCCGTTCTCTCACCTCTCCATTCCCGCGCCTCTCCATTCCCTCACCTCTCCATTCTCTCGCCTCTCCGTTCCCTCGCCTCTCCGTTCCTGCGCCTCTCCATTCCCTCGCCGTCTGCCCGCGCCTCTCCGTTCGCGCACTTTTCCGTTCTCTCACCTCTCCGTTCTCTCGCCTCTCCATTCCCACGCCTCTCCGTTCTCTCACCTCTCCATTCCCGCGCCTCTCCGTTCGCGCACCTTTCCGTTCTCTCACCTCTCCGTTCTCTCACCTCTCCGTTCTCTCGCCTCTCCATTCTCTCACCTCTCCGTTCTCTCGCCTCTCCATTCTCTCACCTCTCCATTCTCTCGCCTCTCCATTCCCTCGCCTCTCCATTCTCTCGCCTCTCCGTTCCCGCGCCTCTCCATTCTCTCGCCTCTCCGTTCCCGCGCCTCCCCGTTCCCGCGGCTCTCCGTTCCTGCACTCCGTTCAACACCAGGCGGAGGTGAAAACCAATTATAGCTCCAACATTTGGCCCAAACTGAAAACTTTAATACACGTTAAAAGGAGGCTGTGTTTCACTAATGCTCTTCTAATGATGAGTTCAGACGGCGGCGGCGGCGTTCCGTTGCTGCAGGCTGTAATTTTGGCTCCAGTTCTGAACGAGCGAGACTTAAAGGGCACCGCCGAGAAAAACGAACGAGTGCAAATCTGTCGAATGATCACGAAATTTTAGATTCATGGGTTTGATGAAAATTAGTGTTTTTAAACAATATGCAACTTTTTGTCGTTTTCTATAGGCCATCTGGTCTCTCTCTGGTCTCTCTCTAGTCTCTCTCTGGTCTCTCTCTGGTCTCTCTCTGGTCTCTCTCTGGGCTCTCTCTCTGGTCTCTCTCTGGTCTCTCTTTGGTCTCTCTCTAGTCTCTCTCTGGTCTCTCTCTGGTCTCTCTCTAGTCTCTCTCTGGTCTCTCTCTCTGGTCTCTCTTTGGTCTCTCTGGTCTCTCTCTGTGGTCCCTCTCTGTGGTCTCTCTCTGGTCTCTCTGGTCTCTTTCTGGTCTCTCTCTGGTCTCACACACACACACACACACACACACACACACACACACAGGGAGGAGCAGAGCTGGGGTCGTGATATATTGTTCAGAGAGAGTTGCAGAGAAGTAAGTCTTATTTATCTATATAGCACATTTTACAGACCACAGTCTCCCAAAGCACTTTATTAATGTTCAGAGTCAGATATAGTTCCAGTCTCTCCACACGGTGATGAAGCGAGACCAGAACACACTGGACCATCAAAGCCTCCGACCAAACACCCTCCATTCACTCATTTACATTCAGACCTATTGTACATGTTTTTATTGGTAGGGGAAACCGGAGCACCCAGAGGAAACCTACGCAGACACAGGGAGAACATGCAAACTCCACTCGGTCGCCTGCTGCAGAGTTCCTCCTTCACCGTGACCTCGGTGCAGTCGCCGTCGACGCTGTCAGCTCCACTCTCTGAACTCATCGCTCTGTGCGCCTCGTCTCGGACCAGAACCGCACCGAGAACACCCTCATCTGGGAACGTCCTTCTCTGACCCTGCATCTGCAAAAGAAAACACAACCGGGATCTTGGGTGTGTGTGTGTGTATGTGTGTATATCTATGTGTGTGTATGTATATCTGTGTGTGTCTGTGTGTGTATGTGTGTATATCTGTGTGTGTGTATGTGTGTCTGTGTGTGTCTGTCTGTGTGTGTGTATATCTGTGTGTGTGTGTGTGTGTGTGTGTGTGTGTGTGTGTATGTGTGTATGTGTGTATATCTGTGTGTGTGTGTGTGTGTGTGTGTGTGTATATCTGTGTGTGTCAGACAGAAACAGAGAAAGTCCTGGTTCACTGTAGCGGTTCTTCTTTCTCCATGTTTGTTTTGTCAACGATCACGTTCATGCGAGGAGCTGCATGGTCACAGCACGTTTATCCCGCAGCAGACGCCTTGTTGCGGCGCAGCAGCGATGGGTTCAGCGACAAGATGCAGCAAAAGCAGGAGATGAACATCCTTGCTCCTGATACTTGTGACAACCAATCAGAGCGCTGTGGTCACGGGGACATGTGCTGGTCCAGGAAAAGAAGTCACACAAAAACAACCAAACCAGGACTAAACCAGGACTAAACCAGGACTAAACCAGGACTAAACCAGGACTAAACCAGAACTAAACCCGGACTGAGGATGGGGGTGGGAGTTTCTCCTGTGACTGTAACATGTGATGCTAACGTGTCGCTGATACAGAAGTACCACCACTTCCTCGCTGCGTTTTCTCCTCATGCAGCGGGACGTCAGACCGACGTCATGCAGCGGGACGTCAGACCGACGTCATGCAGCGGGACGTCAGACCGACGTCATGCAGCGTGACGTCAGACTGACCTCATGCAGCGTGACGTCAGACCGACCTCATGCAGCGGGACGTCAGACCGACGTCATGCAGCGGGACGTCAGTCTGACCTCATGCAGCGTGACGTCAGACTGACCTCATGCAGCGGGACGTCAGACCGACCTCATGCAGCGGGACGTCAGAGTGACCTCATGCAGCGTGACGTCAGACCGACCTCATGCAGCGTGACGTCAGACCGACCTCATGCAGCTGGACGTCAGACCGACGTCATGCAGCGGGACGTCAGACTGACCTCATGCAGCGTGACGTCAGACTGACCTCATGCAGCGGGACGTCAGAGCGACCTCATGCAGCGGGACGTCAGACCGACCTCATGCAGCGTGACGTCAGACTGACCTCATGCAGCGGGACGTCAGAGCGACCTCATGCAGCGGGACGTCAGAGCGACCTCATGCAGCGGGACGTCAGACTGACCTCATGCAGCGTGACGTCAGACCGACCTCATGCAGCTGGACGTCAGACTGACCTCATGCAGCGGGACGTCAGAGCGACCTCATGCAGCGGGACGTCAGACCGACCTCATGCAGCGTGACGTCAGACCGACCTCATGCAGCGTGACGTCAGACCGACCTCATGCAGCGGGACGTCAGACCGACCTCATGCAGCGGGACGTCAGAGCGACCTCATGCAGCGGGACGTCAGACCGACGTCATGCAGCGGGACGTCAGTCTGACCTCATGCAGCGTGACGTCAGACTGACCTCATGCAGCGGGACGTCAGACCGACCTCATGCAGCTGGACGTCAGACTGACCTCATGCAGCGTGACGTCAGACCGACCTCATGCAGCGTGACGTCAGACCGACCTCATGCAGCGGGACGTCAGACCGACCTCATGCAGCTGGACGTCAGACCGACGTCATGCAGCGGGACGTCAGACTGACCTCATGCAGCGTGACGTCAGACTGACCTCATGCAGCGGGACGTCAGAGCGACCTCATGCAGCGGGACGTCAGAGTGACCTCATGCAGCGGGACGTCAGACCGACCTCATGCAGCGTGACGTCAGACTGACCTCATGCAGCGGGACGTCAGACTGACCTCATGCAGCGTGACGTCAGACCGACCTCATGCAGCTGGACGTCAGACTGACCTCATGCAGCGGGACGTCAGAGCGACCTCATGCAGCGGGACGTCAGACTGACCTCATGCAGCGGGACGTCAGAGCGACCTCATGCAGCGTGACGTCAGACCGACCTCATGCAGCGGGACGTCAGACTGACCTCATGCAGCGTGACGTCAGACCGACCTCATGCAGCGTGACGTCAGAGCGACCTCATGCAGCGTGACGTCAGAGCGACCTCATGCAGCGGGACGTCAGAGCGACCTCATGCAGCTGGACGTCAGACCGACCTCATGCAGCTGGACGTCAGACTGACCTCATGCAGCGGGACGTCAGAGCGACCTCATGCAGCGGGACGTCAGAGCGACCTCATGCAGCGGGACGTCAGACTGACCTCATGCAGCGGGACGTCAGACTGACCTCATGCAGCGGGACGTCAGACCGACCTCATGCAGCGGGACGTCAGAGCGACCTCATGCAGCGGGACGTCAGACCGACCTCATGCAGCTGGACGTCAGACCGACCTCATGCAGCGGGACGTCAGACCGACCTCATGCAGCTGGACGTCAGACCGACTTCATGCAGCTGGACGTCAGACTGACCTGAGCCTCAGCCTCAGCCTCAGCCTCAGTCTCAGCCTCAGCCTCAGCCTCAGTCTCAGTCTCAGCCTCAGCCTCAGCCTCAGTCTCAGTCTCAGTCTCGGCCTCAGCCTCAGCCTCAGTCTCGGCCTCAGCCTCAGCCTCAGCCTCAGCCTCAGCCTCAGTCTCAGCCTCAGCCTCAGCCTTAGTCTCGGCCTCAGCCTCAGCCTCAGCCTCAGCCTCAGCCTCTGCCTCTGCCTCAGCCTCAGCCTCAGCCTCAGCCTCAGCCTCAGCCTCAGCCTCAGCCTCAGTCTCGGCCTCAGCCTCAGCAGACGGAGTAACCGCGGTGCCGCACACGGTCCCTGACCCATTACCATCGGTGGCGTCTCTGCAGTTGCTCTGAGCTTCTATCGATTTCTCTTTGGTCTCAGTGACGGAGCGTTCGCCGGAGCCCGAGGACCGACGCCGCTAAATGAGAAGAGATGGATCATTTTACACACTCTCTCCTCCATTTCTCTGACGCAGAAACAGAAGGAGTTTGTGTGTTTCTAAAGGCAGTAAGCAAACAGGAGGAGCCAAGGACAGAAGTGAAAAACATGGTCTTTACTGATGAAGCCTCTTTCTGCTGTTATTATTCTGCTTTTTCCATACATCCATTTTCCTCCGCTGTATCCGTTGCCTGATCACGGGGGCAGCCGTCTGAGCAGAGACACAGACTCTCCACACACCTCCTCCAGCTCATCTGGGGGAATCCTGAGGCGTGGAGAAGCACGTGTGTGTGTGTGTGTCTTTGTGTCTGTGTGTCTCTGTGTGTCTGCGTCTGTGTATCTGTGTGTGCGTCTGTGTGTGTCTTTGTGTGTGTGTGTCTCTGTGTGTCTGCGTCTGTGTATCTGTGTGTGCGTCTGTGTGTGTCTTTGTGTGTGTGTCTGTGTGTGTGTCTGTGTGTGTCTGTGTCTTTATGTGTGTCTTTGTGTGTGTGTGTGTGTGTCTGTGTGTGTGTGTGTCTTTGTGTGTGTGTCTGTGTGTGTATGTCTGTGTGTGAGTCTTTGTGTGTGTGTCTGTGTATCTGTGCGTGCGTGTGTGTCTGTGTGTGTGTGTGTGTGTGTGTGTGTGACATCACAAATTAAACGATGGCTTCATCTTTCTATGTTTTCTTTGTGTGTAACGTCACAAACCGCAGCAGATCAAAGTGTGCGTACAAGAAATACACACACATTTCAAAACGATTGCGCATCTTTTAGATTGTTTGTGTTTTGCTCCTTTGTGTGTCTTTCTAGTCAAAAGTTTTCTGATAATCTCAGTCCAAATATTTGGACTGAGGACTTCACAAAGTTGTCAATTCTCCAACACAGATCACAGAATCAAACACAATAATAACAATAATAATAATAAAACAATCCTATGAACATTTATTCAGATGGAACGTTTGTGGCTCCAACATTTGCAAAGATCAAAACAGAAAGACAGATCACAGCCTCAGGGCGACACATGCTTCTTTATGCACGTTTATGGTACACAAACAAACCCTGCTGCATGTTAGAAACTGGTGTGTAAGAGTCAAGGTAAACTGTGGAACCAGCTCCACATGGTCCAAATCTGGGCTCAAGGCACTCTCAAAAATGTTTAGCCAATTTTGAACCATTTCTGACTTATTTTCCATCTCTTTTTGCAGTGTATTGACCCCGTTTTGCTAAATCTCTTCACAGTCCCTCAGCCTTGATTTCCTCGACTGCCCTTCTGTGTTACATTTGTGATGTCATTGTTGTGGCAGAGTGGTTTTCCTGCTCCCGCCGTGAGGAGGTGGGTTGTTAGCGCGTAGCGGACGTTAGCGGACGGTAACAGGCCGCTGTTCGGCGAAGCAAGAAGGATTACTCCTCTGTCAGAAACACTTTGGTCTGGACCTGAACGAGCTCTTCCCCTTTCAGCCTCTTGTTTGTTAGAAAACGCTGCAGATCCATCGAAAAAGAAAAGTTGGCTGAGGTTTTCCAAAGTGACAACCTCCTTCTCCACGACTATTCACAGAGAACTTGTTTCAGACGCTCGGCCGAGTGCGGGCTGCATTATTATTATAATTTTTTAATTGTTTATTAGGCTGGGACAGTACATGTTCATGAACACATCACTCCGGACTGTAGCGTTGAGCTAATTTCCATCCTACATTCACACTCACAAACACACACTCATTCACCCTGAACTTTCGCAAATGTTTTTAGTGGTAGGGGAAACCAGAGCACCCGGAGGAAACCTACGCAGACACAAGGAGAACATGCAAACTCCACTCAGAAAGGCCCTGTTCCAACCGGGATTCCAACCCACAACCTTCTTGCTGAGAGGCGAGAGTGCAATCCGCTCAGCCACCGTGCTACCCACCAATCCTACATAAGTCCTGCATTAGTCCTGCATCAGTCCTACATTAGTCCCACATAAGTCCTGCATTAGTCCTGCATCAGTCCTACATTAGTCCCACATAAGTCCTGCATTAGTCCTGCATCAGTCCTACATTAGTCCCACATAAGTCCTGCATTAGTCCTGCATCAGTCCTGCATCAGTCCTGCATCAGTCCTACATTAGTCCTGCATTAGTTCTGCATCAGTCCTACATTAGTCCTGTTTTAGTCCTGCATTAGTCCTACATTAGTCCTGTTTTAGTCCTGCATTAGTCCTGCACTAGTCCTGCACTAGTCCTGCACTAGTCCTGCATTAGTCCTGCATCAGTCCTACATTAGTCCCACATAAGTCCTGCATTAGTCCTGCATCAGTCCTACATTAGTCCCACATAAGTCCTGCATTAGTCCTGCATCAGTCCTGCATCAGTCCTGCATCAGTCCTACATTAGTCCTGCATCAGTCCTGCATCAGTCCTACATTAGTCCTGCATTAGTTCTGCATCAGTCCTACATTAGTCCTGTTTTAGTCCTGCATTAGTCCTGCACTAGTCCTGCACTAGTCCTGCACTAGTCCTGCATTAGTCCTGCATCAGTCCTACATTAGTCCCACATAAGTCCTGCATTAGTCCTGCATCAGTCCTGCATCAGTCCTGCATCAGTCCTACATTAGTCCTGCATTAGTTCTGCATCAGTCCTACATTAGTCCTGTTTTAGTCCTGCATTAGTCCTACATTAGTCCTGTTTTAGTCCTGCATTAGTCCTGCACTAGTCCTGCACTAGTCCTGCACTAGTCCTGCATTAGTTCTGCACTAGTCCTGCACTGGTCCTGCATCAGTCCTGCATCAGTCCTGCATTTGTCCTGCATCAGTCCTGCATTAGTCCTGCACTAGTCCTGCATTAGTCCTGCATCAGTCCTACATTAGTCCTACATTAGTCCTGCATCAGTCCTGCATTAGTGCTGCATCAGTCCTGCATTAGTGCTGCATCAGTCCTGCAATAGTCCTACATTAGTCCTGCATCAGTCCTGCACTAGTCCTGCATCAGTCCTGCATCAGTCCTACATTAGTCCTACATTAGTCCTGCATCAGTCCTGCACTAGTCCTGCATCAGTCCTACATTAGTGCTGCATCAGTCCTGCAATAGTCCTGCATCAGTCCTGCATTAGTCCTACATTAGTCCTGCACCAGTCCTACATTAGTCCTGCACCAGTCCTACATTAGTCCTGCATCAGTCCTACATTAGTCCTGCACCAGTCCTACATTAGTCCTGCATCGGTCCGGCTAACTGGCCGTTTAGCTAACACAACACTTTGATGATAGAACAATGAGCAGCTCTGATAGTTGTGTATCTGGTATAGTTAGCCAGCTATAGCTAGCTTTTACAGCGCTAGCCTTAGCTGGAAAAGAATAGTTGTAGATTATCAGAGCGATGTCGTCGTGAAAGCTGGATCTATATTTTTCACAAAACAGAAACACATTTGACACAAACACACGTCAAGTTAAAGAGTTTTGACTTCAACAGAACCCACAAGAAACTTTGCGACCTCATTTAAATGAAAAACCGCTCTCATTTCACCGGTGACTGCGACAGAGAACAGCCAGAACCAAAGTCATATAAATCATACAGAGCAGCGCTGGGTAAACACAGAGAACAGAGCTGTGAGCCTATAACCCGCCGTCACAGCCCGGGAGGAAGTACTGTACTGGTACTGCTCAGTCCACTGTATATATTGTTGTTATTCATATTTATTAGCATTTACAGCTAGTTAATAAACATAGCTACTACTTATTTTGTATATTGTGTGTGCTCCCTGTGTCTCTTACTACTGTCCTGTCTGTGCGCTGCAACACTGAAATGTCCTCACTGTGGGACGGATAAAGGATCTCTATGGGGTAAGGTTACTGTCAATAAAGACGTGCATGTCTAAAAAAAATGCGTGCATATTTATTGGTATTTATGCATAATTTATTTTTATGAATTCATGATTAAGATAATACAAACTAAAAAGACATGGAATTTCGTAATTAAGAATAAAAAATATAAAACTGTATGTGTGATTTTGTACTTGTGAATACGATTTTTTTTTGTGTGCTTGCTTTTTCTTTTTGAGAATACGAATTTCAGCAGTGAACAAACTGTCAATATGACGTCACTGCTCACAGACATTAACAATCGAGCTGCGCAGAGTTGATCATGGCAGAGGGCAACAACATTAACAATTTGGCTCAAAATCAGGTAAATAACTATATTTGATCATTTTGGTCGTAAATAAATGTGTAAGAAATATTAATTCCATAAAATGTGTTCATAAGATGTTTCTTGTCCCTCTCTAGAAACGTTTTTTTAGGCAGTGTTTAGTTAACACTAGCTTCAAGGCTAGTTTTACAGCTTACCATGTTATTTTAAAACCAACATTTTTACATTCTTAGCAGTTACATTTTATGAAGCCTTTGCCCCAAATCAATGTGGTTAAAGTGTTGATACCAGCCCCAACCCTCCAGATTATTCATAGTTCGCGCTGTTACTGCCCCTGAGCAGTATGAAGAACACCTCCGTGCTGTACTAACCCTCTGTTGTTAGACGCAGCAGACCCTGTCCCTGTGGACCTCAATCTTATATTTGTACATTTGACACATTA